CTCGTAGTCCTCAGTGAGGTGCTTCTGCTGAGCCTTCTTCTTGGTCAGATACAATCTGAACTGAGCCAGCTGTTTTGCCAACTCTTTCTTGTGGTGGCTGTTTAGCTCCAACAACTGCTTCCTGTTGGGGCTCTACGGAGCCCCGGCAGGCAGCGGAGGAGTGGCTGGGAGGGGAGGGGCGAGTAGAGGCTGGTGAGGCACCTCTCGATGTCAGTGACATCGAGTTGGGTACGCCCATCCATTCACATGACCACCTAGCCATGCCCACCCAGCCAGTCATTAGGCAGATCATATTAATGGTCCACGGGATTTAAAATTATGAATTTAGTGGTCCCCGAGGTCCAAAAGGTTGGGAACTCCAATATAGTCCAACCCCCTGCTCAAGCAGGATACCATTTCTGATAGCTGGCTGTCCAGTCTCATATCAGAGCAGAGTATCTGAGCAAAGGTATCTTCAGAATCAGGATGATTGAAATGAGCTTCATGATGCATGCTTCACTTTTTAGATAAATGTAGGGAAATCTTAACTATGTTCTTAGGTCATTGTGAGATCAGCTTATATCCTTTACCCTGGAAGGGTTGGGGGGGAAAAGCCCTAGAGTTTAAACTCTAGAGCATGGCTGCTAAACTCCCAGCCTGAGGGCTGGATACATCATGCACTGGCCACGCCCACACCCAGTTTAGCGAAGGGGGGGAAGGTCCTGATATGTTACGTGAGTGATGGCGTGAGTGAGACACCCTTGCTCTAGAGGACACTTATAGATATCTAAACAGGATTTAACTTTTCTGTACTGTAGCACACCATCAATGATTGGATGGTTTCATTCTCACCTGCAGTAATGCCTATCTTAGTGCTTTTTGCTTGATTTTCAGTTTCATCCTTTAAATAATTTTGCTGGAATTAGAGAATATTGCTCAGTATTTTGAATTTGCTTTTCAGAAACTATGCAAAAACTTTCTAAGAGGGCTATGTTTTGAAGCCCAAGAAATGAATTGGATATGGCACATTCTCTGGATCAACTTTTGTGGGCACTTTAAAAATCATTTTTGCATCAAACCCAGCACCGTTTGTAATAAACCATATTACTAATTAATATGTAGGGCTTTTAAATATCTGATTATATTCCATCAAGTTGTTCTCTCTTAGCAACTACATAGATTTTTTTCTATAACAATCTGTCCCTAACTTGGTCCTTCAGATCTGCTAACCATATTATGTAAGTACTATTATAAATATTATTTTCAAAACCATTTTGAATACAGAACAGTCCACATGAATTGTATTGAGAATATTTATTTGCTTTCAGTTCTATTTTCAATAAATACTGTGTCATATTTATGTCTGAGGTAAAATAAATTAACAATCAAGAATCTAAACCTATAAATTTATGCAGCATTGTTTCATAACCATCAAACAGAAATATTATATTTCCTTCCACGTTACTTCAGTAGTATTAAAAACTTCTGTTTTGTTGAAAACTGGTAAAGAATGGTTATTGCGTGCTAGTTTTTCCAATATGCTTTTTGAAAATCACACTAGAGCTATTCTTATGAACATCACACCAAAATTACAGGAAGAAATATGCCACAAGGATCCACTTTAGGCCAAGCAAGGTAAACATTGTTTGAAAACAACAATGTTTACTACATTCTTATTATCTCTTTAATGTATGGTCTGGAATAGCAAAGTGCTGGCAGGTATGTTGTTTTAACAGATACGCTGTTAAAACTGAGTTTGATGGTGCACAAGTTTGTGGTTTTAGCTTTAAATGCTACACCTATGTTTAAAGCTCAGGAAGTCATAAAGAGATCTGCTACATTAGACTTCACCACCTGACAGCTTAACACAGGCCTGTGCTTAGTGGAAACTGCTTAATCAGAAGCTGACCTGTAGTACCTACATTGGAGGAAAAAGGAGGAATAGAATGACATGGAGATAAAACCCAAATTTTTGCCACTGTAGTAGTTACGTATCATCAGTTGGGCTGGATTGTCTTTTCTTCCATTTTTGCTTGGAATGGGCTCACACTAAAGGCATCTGGGGGGATTTTTTTTTTTTAAAAAAAGTGAAAATGGTGGTTGCAAAAGCAAGAATGAAGTCTTGCCCTTGTATATGTACAATGTCAATTTGTCTTCAACAGGAGTTGGATTTCAATTGTGTTATGCAACCATCATCTTGATTTCTATTGAGTCCAATCTCTTCCCCCTTAAGATGGACCACTGGGTGTTGACCAGTGGGGCTATTCTGCCGGTTCTATCCGGTTAGGATGAACCGGTAGTGGTAGCGGCAGGAGACTCCGCCCATCTGCCTGGATGTCATCACGTCCCGTTTTTGACACTCTGTGCATGTGTGGAAGGTCCTGCACATGCGTGGAGGTGATGCGTGCATTCACATTTGCAAACCAGTAGCGAAGTTATGTTGATTTCACCCCTGGTGTTGCCTGCCTTGTGAAAGGTCCAACTCCAAAACCAATACAGATTATTTAGGACTGGATGTCTTCCATTTAAAGCCCACTTTTGTTCTACCTGTGGTTGAGAACTTCCCTAAATATCAGCAGCGCCTAGCTCTAGGTTGCTAATCTTTTCTTCCTCTTTTGAGATACATCTTTTTAATTGCTAATGGGTCTTCCCTTGAGCACTTTTGAAGGCAATGCAGATCCCATTAGTGTAAAATGATGGGAAGAGAAACAAAGAAATTGCTTTTTGAGGGATGCTAAACTTCTAGGAAAGGGGACAATAGCAATGGTAGCTATCTGCAAACAGCATTTCAAACAACAATGGATGCATTTTCAAATATTTGATAAATTTAAAATATGTTGGGACAGGATTGTCTCAAGCTCCATTAAACTGGCAGCTCTTCTTGATAGGGTGATCAGTTTGTAAATCTAGAAGTTACTGTCATCTCAAGCAAATTTGAGTAGTTAATTTATTCTAGTATGAACTTAAATCTATATGGAACCACAGCAATTATAAATTAGCATCCCAGTTAATAATGTCAAAAATTGATTAGAATTTATACACAAAGCAATCTTTTACTTCCTATCAACCCCTGGCTTTTCAGGATAAGAACTGAAATTAACAAACTTTTATTAAATTTCATACAGGAAGACTTTTTTAAAAAAAAAGTTCTAAAAGCAAACTCTTCATCATCCAATTCAAGTTATGTATCATGAAAAGCCTGCCTAGAACTTGCACATTTAGCCACTTGAACTTCTCCCAGGGGCATAATTCCTCAAGTGGAAGGAAACATGTCTCCAAGCGTTCTTGGATGGAGCTCACTAGCCACAGTGGCAGTAACCTGGCTTTTAACTTTGCAACTTTCATACTACTTCATCTCTACCTTGGCTTGGGACCAATGGGACAGCCAATATGTGTGTCTCTGTGTGTGTCCGTGCGCGCACGTGTACATATACATGTATATTTGAAGGAACTTCTGAAAGGTCACTTCATTGATTACATTAGTTTTCCTAGGAAAAATGTTTTAGTTTGTACTACATCATGATTTTGCATGTTTGAGCCAGCTGTTTTTCCTTAGCAGCGTTCCAAGAAGCAATCATTGGAATAAATAATCACATGCTAGATGTGTCCAAAGTGTGTATTTGGCTTGTGTTATGCTGTAGTGTAGGGAAGTCCTTAAAAAGATTTAAATATCCATCATCTAAAATTGTGTATCATTGCAAATTAACTGATTTGTAATATTTTAGCAGCACTATTTCAATACTCTTCACATCTGTAAAGCTTTATCATAGAAAGTTTTTAACCTGGTTTTACAAACCTCACTCAATTAACAAAAATATGCAGCAATAGGCTACCCTCTTCCCACACTCTGGAAAGATAGCATCTGATTCAAAAACTCTCATTCACAATAAAATAGGCAATAAAAATAAACTCTTAATTTTCATCATCTCTTGGCACATAAAAACATAGTAATGATTAAGATCTAGCTCTTGATTTCTTCTTTAGGCTAATGTCAGGGACGGGAGGGAGCCAGGGATACCCGTGAAACACAATTTCATTATTTAAAAAATTATCCTTAAAAAAAAAACACCTTAGAGAGACACCACAATTTTACGCCTGCTTTTTTTTGAGAAATGGAAGAATACATATCCTTCACATTTACATCTGTTGCTACTTTACATAGTGAGCTGGAATTTCAAGACTGTATGTGCTTTAAGAAACACGGTGTGACATGCGTTCAAGCACTTCAAATATGTTTGTATAGTTGTAGTAATCCAAAGTGAATTTCTTGAAGCTGCAGCTAATGTTTCTTGTGCTTTATTGCATGTGTTTCTAAGCATAGAATAATTTGATTGGTTTGTTATTATTATTGTCCTATTTGGCAAGCTATTGACATTAGCCAAGACACTACCCTGAATAACCGATCTGGAGTACTGCAAACCCTGTGGCTTGCATTTCAGCACTCCATGCTCATGCAGTAGCTTGTGGGCGAATAAGGTTCATCCTGCTGTAGGTGGAACATCAGATTCGAGGTGTGATCAACAGCAGTTCTGGATTGTGCGTCAATATTCTGCAGAATTCACTATTGCCAAGGGTTCATCAAAAGTTGCCAGCATGATTTGTTTTGTGGAAGGCATAGAGATGATGTCTCCGCTTTCTGCTGGAGAGTGAATTCTGTTGTCTAAAGAATCATCTATAAGGTGTGAGCCCTCTTCTTCGTGGTCTTCATACAGCGTATTGATGTGTAGAAGAGGATGCACAGGGTGGCAATTCAGGGCAGGCCCTGACTCTACTACCTTGTTAGTCTGGGGGAGAGGGACTTTCGTTGCAGCACCAGAAGTTGCTATATGGTTATGGGTACAGGTGAGGAAAACCCCTGTTGCAGGCACGGTCCTGCAGATGTCATGGGAATAAAGGGACTCTTTTCCAGGAAGGGAAGAATCTGAAAGAGAAGCAAAACACTTATTTATTTAACTGACATCTTTTTTTCCAAATTGAAAAAAAAAATGATGACATGGGTATCTTAATTTTATTTCCACAATAGCAGTTCAGTTGCTAGATTGGATGAGAGCAACGGGGTCAAAGACACCTAGTGAGGTTGGAGGAGAAGGAAGGGCCTGAATATGGATGTTTTTCTTTCCTCCAAGTTCTCTTTCAAAAGAGGCTTATTTTAGAAGAGAGCCACTGTATGATAATAGTGTAAGTTTTGAACGATGAATGGCATTCAGATTTTATTCTATCTTCAGTCATTAGGTGTCTTTGGGATAGAAGCAGGGGTGGGTTTCAACCGGTTCGCGGCGGTCCCTGCGAACCGGTTGGTCGGCGAACCCGGAAGTAAGTAACTTCCGGGAACGGCAAAGGGCCCGCCCGCCCGCGGTCCTTACCCGGTTTTGACGAGTTCTGCACTTCCACGCATGCGCAGGACGCATACAGAGCCTGCGCGATCCTCCAGGAGCAGCTGGAGCGTCACGCAGATGCTAGTATGCATGCGTGCACCGCGCGCGTACACGAGGACGCCGCCGGCCCCGTTCCAACCGAACCGGTTGGAACGGGGCC